GTGCAAGGCCCTGGGTTTGATCCCCACCACTAGAGAGAGAGAGAGAAGGGGAGAGAGAGAGACAGACAGACAGACAGACAGACTAAGAGAGAAGAGAGAGAATGCAGAGGGGTGATGCAGTGATGGGGGCTAAACAAGTTGGCTCTTTTATGGTGACTGAAACCTTCCAGGCAATAATTTCAAGGCTGCTAGATAGACGGTGAAGAAAGCTGAAAGCAGTCAGGAGGAGAAAGGCTCACCGAGTGGCTCTGTACCAAAACAGGATGGTTAAGGCAGAACGGAAACACGTGGCATAGATGAGCAGAGTGAGGGCGGGGGCTCACATGCCTGACCCTGGTCACAGTATGGCAGGAATCTAGCACTTACTGCATGCATTGTGAAGAATATAAAAAGGAGCCAATGCTGCTAGTTGGTCTGGCCAGAGGGTTGTTGTCATGGTGGCAGTAAAGTGGTCTTGTTGTCAAAAGTTGCAGGCAGATTATCTGGATTGAGAATTCTCACAGCCAGATATCAGGGGTTCCATAGAGTCAGAGAGAGCCAAGAAGAGCCAAGAGACAATCTTCCTGACTCTCATTGATGATTCCTCATGTGATTATAATTTTTTTATTGCAAACTCCTATTTTCCTTTGGGAGTGCTCTGACCTGTGCGTGGTAGATGTGGTTGACAGAGTATATGTGCATTTGCATTTTTAAGTCAATATTTTTTAAATTGTGGACAAGTACACATAATATAAAAAATGTCTCTGTGTGTGTGTGCTGGAGATTGAAGGCAGGGCTTCATACATGAAAAGCATGTCCTGTACCACTAAGCTACACTATCAGCCCCATTTTAAGTGTATAGTTCTATGGCACTGTGTACATTCACACTTTCATGAAACATCACTACCACCTATCTTCAGAACCTTTTCTCCTTCTCCAGCTGAAATTCCGTACTTACTGAACACTAAGCCTCTGTTCCCCAGCCTTAGCCATTGGTTTACCACTCTACTTTCCATTTTTGTGAATCTGACTACTCTTAGAAACCCCATATAAGCGAAATCATACAATAACTTTCCTTTCATGATTGGCTTATTCCACTTAGCATAATGTCCTAAGGCTTATCAGAAATTTTCTTACCTTTTATGGTTGAATAGTATTCTATTGTAGGGATCAACCACATTTTGTTTATCCATTCATCCATTATTGAATACTTGAATTGCTTTCACAGTTTGATGTTAAAAATAATGCTACCACAAATACAGCTGTACAAAAACATGTTCTGAGTCCTGCTTTCATTTTTTTTGAGTATATATCGAGAAGTAGAATTTCTGGATCATGAGACAATTCTGTTGTTAATGTTCTGAGAACTCACAACACCAATTTTCTACATTCTTTGCACTATTTTACATTTCCACCAGGATTGCTGAAAAGTTCTAATTTCTCCACATCCTTGCCAAAACTTGCCATTTTCTGAGGATTTTTTGTAATCACCTTCCTAGTGGTTATGAAATGGAAGATCATTGTGGTTTTGATTTGTACTTCCCTAGTGATCAGTGATGTTGAACAAGACTTATTGGCAATTGTTTATCTTCTTTAGAAAATGTCTATTCAAGTCCTTTGCCAAGTTTTTAATAGGGTTGTTTGCTTTTTGTAGTTGAGTTGTAGTTTTTGTATATCTGGATATCAATCTGTTATCAGATATATGATTTTCAAATATTTTCTCCTTTTCACTTTGTTAATATTGTCTTTTTTATTGATCAATATTTCCATGGGGTATGTATTTTATATATGAAATAATTACTTGTGCCACTGAATATGTGTTTGCCTAGAAGCCATATAAGGCTGTCCTTATTTCTGACTTCCTTTTTTATTCCATAATACCCAGTGGACCCACATTGCCTGTTTTTTTTTTGTTTGTTTGTTTTTGGTTTTGTTTCTGTTTTTTTTTTTGGTGGGACTGGGGTTTGAACTCATGTGAGATATCTTTTGATGCACACAAGACACTTTTTTTTTCTGTGTTAGGGCTTGAACCCAGGGCATTTGAAGCACTGATTCTACATCCCCAGCTCAAGACAATTTTGATGAAGTCCAAATGGCCTATTCTTTTCTCTTGTTGCCTGTGCGTTTTAGGTTCTATCCAGGAAGTCATTGCCAGATTCAGTGTCATGAAGTTTTCTTCATGTGTTCTTCTAACTTTGCTACAGTTTTAGCTCTGACATGCTAGTCTTTGATTCATTCTGGGTTAGTTTTTATACATGTTGTAAGAACAGGGTCCAATTTCATTTTTTTGTTTTGTGGAAAGGGCTATTATTTCCCAATTGAATGGTCTTGGCACCCTTCTTGAAAGCCATTTGACCAGGGTTTGTTTTTGGGTTCTATATTCTGTCCTATTGACGTATAGAGTATTTTTATGCCAGCCCACCACTGGTTTGATTAATATAATTTTGTAGTAAGTTTTGAAATAAGAAGTGTGAGGGCTCCAATTATATTCTTTTATATCTTTAAGATTGTTTTGTCTATCCAGGATCCCATAAAATTCTATATGAGTTTTAGAATGGATTTTCCTATTTCTGTGAAAATGTTTTTGTAATTTTGATAGGGATTAAGCCAGCTAGAATCCTTTTTCTTAAATCAGTTTTAATTTGAGTTTTTGACACTTGCGAGGAAAAGTCCTTAGTATTATAGCACAAAAGAATTCCATTTATTATGTATAACAATATGTCTTAAAAAAAAATCCTCTTTCCTGTCTCTCAGTGTCTGAACGTCACTCAAAGTGGCAGCTGTGCTGAATCACTACTGTCACTCTCTCAAAACTCCCAGATATCTTCTTTCCTAAAGTCAGAGCATTCTGGGTCTTTTTTTTTTTTTTCCTTTTCTCATTGCCTTTCTCAAAATTATTCTACCTCTCTTCCTTCTGAGGTTTTTTTTGCTTCTCTAGTCCTTACCTAGATCAGCACAATTAATGCCTGTTTGAGCAACAAAGGGTCCTTCCTCTTAGAAAGGGAGAAAGTCCAGAGTTGAATTTTCTGTTCTGGTCTCATGTGTATTCAGAATGAATAGCGAGTTTGCTTGGACATCAATTCCATTTGCTAATAGCTATGCCTGGGATCCCTTTGGGTAATTTTGCCAAGATACTGCCTTGGGTTGTTGTGTGTGTGTGTGTGTGTGTGTGTGTGTGTGTGTAAGGGGGTGGGGAAAAATCAAACTAGTCAAACCGGTTTGCTTGTTTAAGAGCCTGAGAAATAATAACTGGTCAGGTTCTGGATTCAGACCCAGCTGATATGGAGTGCTAGTGGCGATTTAGTAACCATTACTCACAATATTGCCCTTATTTTCCTCTTTGGGGACATTCTTTAGGTTTCTACAGAACAGCTGGAGACTCTCAATCAACAATTGCCTCACTCAGCAGCTTCTTCATAAGCACATTTATCAGATGCTGTGCCCAGGACTCTCCTAAGTGTCCTAAGAATATTAACTCATTCAAAAGCAGCCCAGCTGGAGTTGGGAGAGCACCAGCTCTTGCTCCATGAAGACTATCTCCCCACATCAAGAGGCATTTACAGTTCTCTTATGCTAGACACTCACATGGTTCTCAGCCCTTTTGTGAACACATTGATTACAAATGTTCTGGATTCTATTCCAAGGGTGCTGTCTTTGTCACCTTTGGGCTCCGGAAGCCAATGGAATGACTACCTAGCATGATGGCTGCCTAGAGCCCAGGAAACTGACACTATGCTGTAGGTGACTTTGCACCTTTTAAAAGTTTATATATATATCAATTTATAAATATATATATATATTTAACCCTCATGATCTTGCCAACCACAATAAGCTAAAATCTTCTTTAGTGTCCTAGAAAAGTAGGAAAATGATGAAATAATTGAGGAAGTTTTAATAAAGGGACTGTTTTTAACAGTTAAAAGAAACCTTTGAAGTCATTTCCAGCATAGGCCTGAAGGACAAGGACAGCTACTGGTAAAGACTACTGGTGGAGAGAACTGTAGGAGAGGGTCCAGGAGAGAAGTACCAACTTTCAGGTGAAGGAAAAACAGTCTGTCCCAACAGAATGGTCCACTGGGACAGAAGGGAATGGCCTCAATGATATCCTGCTCTCTTATCTGTTGAGAGCCTCCCACTTGGCAAAGCCATTCAAAAGACAGGACAGGTGATGCAGTCCATAAAGCTAAGTCCTGAGTCACAGAACAGGGTGGAGTGGGGGTCTGTAGGGACAGACAGGAGTTCAGGCCTCCAGCATTCTTGCCTGGCCTAGGGTCATGCTTTCCTGCCTGTCCCCTCCCCCCCACCCCCAATCCATTGCTTTGACGTGTTTCTAAGATGATGCATTCATCTGGCTTGGAACTGGGTTTTACAGACCTGAGTGGATGAGCTTCCTCTTCAATGTCAAGACCCATCCTTCAAAGACCTCATCGACAGGATATGGGGAGGACACAGGGACTCCCCAAGACCTTTCTATACTGATTTTACAGATACTGGATTTTTTTTTTTTTTTTTTTTTTGGCGGCACCGGGGTTTGCACTCAGGGCCTTATGCTTGCTAGGCAGGTGCTCTACCACTTAGCCATGCCCCCAGCCCTGGACACCTTTTTAAAATATCAAGTAATCTTTAAAATGCACAGCCGGGTAGGAATGAATCATGACTGTCTCCTTGTCCCTTTCCAGAGAATCACGTCCCCTTGGCTGACGGGCTATTGCTTCAAATCCGCTCTCTCCCTGGGCCCTGGCAGTTTCCCACGCCGTAGACTCTCCGATCGCGTGTGGTAGTCAGTCCCTTAGCCGGGCACTAATCCTGGGGGCCTCCTGCGGTCTTCCTCTCCCGCACCGGCCCGGGTGGGGGTTGGGGCAGCGGAGAGCGCAGGCGCAGTGTCGGGCCGCGGCGCCCCTCTCTCTCCTTGCCCCTCCTGGAGCCCCTGCCGCGGCTTTCCCTGCCCAGCGCTCTGCGGCCTGTGCTGGCTGGGAGGCTGGACTAAGCGGGTCGTACCCGGCAGACCTGCTGGAGGACAGGGCGCGCCTGGCTCGCCGCGACACGCAGGTAATGGGGGCCCTGCCGCCGGTCGGACTGGGACCTTTACGCTACCTGCCCGGCAGGAGTGGGATCGGACCCCGAACCCCACAATCTGCTTTTGACCTTGGCAACTGAGGCGCAGAGACCTTCTTTTTAGGATAAGGGCTGGGTTGGGGGCCAAGCACCCCGCCCCCTTTGCAAACCGACTCTGTGCACCACGCTGGAGAGGCCACGCTGCCCTCCGGGAGAAAAGGAACCCCGGGTTAAGATCGGCATCAGCTCCGGTTCTACTCCCCGTCTCCTGCCACTGTCACATGTAGGGACCCTCCCTCAACCTCGGTGATAAAGATCTGGGGCTTTTTTGCCTTCCTCTGGCCCAGGCGCCTGCCCCAAGCAAGGATAAGTGTCTGTGGCGTCATGGGACCAGTTTCAAATACAACTTCAAAAAATGCTGGATGGTTTTAGGAAAATGACCAAGAATTTGTATTCGTCATTACTTTCTAGTCACATGTCCATGATTCTTGAACGCCAGCGTGTATGGTTGGGGTTTTCGTGGTAATAAACGGTTTGTAGAACTCTTTCCCCTGGAGAGACGAGGGCAAGCAATAGCGGAGAAAGAGCCCAGCATGGCCGAGCGTGGAGGCCGAGGATCAAGGCAGGGCCGCACAACCGGGTCAGCTCCAGGGAGGAAAACCTGGATCTGTCCTGGCTCCTCTGCTGTAGGATCTTCCCCAATGTGTGCCCATTGGGCCGCATTTGAAAGCAGGGGAAGCAGAAAAGGTCGCGCGAACCGGCAGGAAGGAGACTCAGGTGGAGGCGACTGGGGGCGCGGCGCAGATCCGCATTTCGGGTCAGGCTTTGAGCGGTTTCCGAAGAGCGAGACGGAAAGTTCTCGCCGGAGTGAGGATTGGGGGCCCCGGGTTAGTAACCCTTGGGGCCCAGAGGACTGCTCTCCGCCTGCTCGCGGGGGGCTCGGGCTGCCCGTGTCCGTGGTGCTGAAGTGCCTCACGCACCCGCGTCCACTCACTTCCTGGGCCGCGGCCTGCCGGATCCTGATCCGCACCTTTGCCAAAAATAGCCCATCTCCAAGGCAGATGGACAGAGTGGAGGCCAGACATTGAAACCCCTTGCAAATGGGTTTCCCGAAGATAACACCGAAGACTTAATAATGTAGCTCGTCTTGGAGGCGCAGAGAAGGCTTGTGCACAGCATTTTTGATTGCCGGTGTGAAAGCACCCGGGTGGCATAAATGAGGGCCCTCCTCACGCATTCGTAAGGATGCATGGGTGTGTACGGCATCCACGGACAAACAAAACGTGCACCCCTTTTCAAACTGATCACACACATCGCACGTTTCCCAAAACTTTTTGTAATCCATCTTTATGTTTTGAACTTCGCAGTACCATTACTTTTCATAATCGTCTGTTCCAAAGGCGCAGAGCCTGTGGATTGAAGTATTTAGTACTGGGCTGAGCAGTTAGGTATTCATACACATTTAAATTCCAGAACAAAGCTGACCAGTCTAGAGGGGCTAGGGGTGTACTCAGTGGTAGAGCATCTGCTTAACATGCAGGCAGCCCTGGGTTGGATCCTCAGCACGCCCCGCCCCAAAAAAATCCCATAAGTAAAAGAATGGTTATTTGGGTGCCAATGGACTATTATGTAATATTTTCTTCTGGAGTTTCAAAACACTTTAGAATAGCCCAATGGGCAATAATTTTGTTTTTATTTTATTTTAAAGTATAGCTGATTATAAGAAATGGAAACAGCCAGGTGCAGTGGCTCACACCTGGAATCCTAGCTACCCTGAAGGCAAAGATCAGGAGGATCACCGTTTGGGGCCAGCCTGGGCAAAAATTCAGCAAGACCTGTCTCAAACAAGAAAAAGCTTGGCTTGGTGGCATGTGCCTGTCATCCCAGCTACTGGGGAAGCATAAATAGAGAATCACAGTCCAGTTCAGCTAGCAAAAATGCAAGACCCTATACCAAAAATAACTAAAGCAAAAAGCATTGGGGGTATGGCTCAAGTGGTAGAGTGCCTTCTGGAGGCCCAGAGTTCACACCCCAGCACTGCGCCCCCCCCCAAGAAAAAAGATAGACATAACCCCTGTTCTTAGAGTGGTAACAGTGTGTCAGTGGCTACATTTCAGACACAATTCACAGTGAGAGACTACATCAAGAACTATAACAGAGCCCAGAGAAAGTGTTCAAGAGCCCAGACAAAGACAGGCTGTTTAGTAAGGGACTTCTCCAAGGCCACCAGAATGGTGGTGGGGATGAGTGGGAGTTTGCCAGAGATTACTTTGTTGGGTATTAAGTCTTTGATGGCCTCAAGTTGTAAATGAATGGCCTGGTAGCTTCCTTTTCTGCTGGTGAGAATCTAGCTCCCATTATCCTAAGTATATTTATTCATTTTCCTGTTATGTAACCGATCTCCTGACCTTATCAGTCACCTTTTTGGCCCCAATTCCTCCTAGATCCAGTCCTGCTGGCCCCACTAGCCTCCTCACAGCCTTAAACAACTAGAAAATTGTGGAGCAGGAATTCAAATCTCAAAGGTTCTAATTACTTGGCAGGAGTCCTTTATTAAGTCTTCAAGTCCAAACAGGTCTATTATGAACGCTTGTATGAAGATGCTCATGGAAAACATGCCCTTGACATAATGAGATGAAGATTTAAACAGGCAAAATGGCAGCCCCCAGGGATGTGCCCTCCATAAGAAATATGAAGGATCAAATGTGAAGGCAGCCAAATGCTGCCACTTGCCAAAAACCACAGTGAAAGGATTCTCCAAAACTGGTAAGACTCAAGGACCAGTCAACTATCACCCCCAGTGCCACAAATATCCTTCTATATTTTGTTGTTATATCAAGGGCACATTCCATTAAGACATAAACATATCACTGTGCTCTAGTTCAGAAGAGGGAAATACTGCTTTTATGAGCAGCTTCTTAAATTGAAATCTTTGGGGATTTACTCTTTTACTGCTCACTTCATTTCCTGTTCTAGAAGATCAGAAATCTGTGCATGTTTTAGAGAACAGCATGAGGTCCATCTGTTCAGGTCAGATTTTTCCACATTAACGTGAAGATTTATGAGGTGGTAACTTTTGTAAGAAAAGCCAATGGTATTTGCTGCCATTTGGAATCTACATTATATTGGTGGTTAGTCAGGAAAATATAGTAACATACATCTATTTATTTATATATACACAGATACACACATACACACACACACACACACACACACACACACACACACACATTGAATTCTTTCAAGCACTATAATAAAGCAGCCTCCTCAGTTTGTAAAGTCTTTCCCCTCTGTTTTGGTTTGGGTACTAGACACCATTCATTCATAATTCCCTGTAATAGGGTCTATTTATCCTCAGTTTTCTTTCCCACAGAAGGCATAGAAATACAAGAGCTTCTTGGGTGACTATTCTAGTCTGACTAAAATAGTGTAATGATTTATTTTTTTCCTCTGACAATAATAGGTTGATTTTCTGATTTCAAAGAAAATATATACTTATACAGAAAAATAACCAAAAAGTAAGAAGAAAATACTGGAGAATTGAAATTCCATCACCCACAAGTGTGTGTGTGTGTGTGTGTGTGTATCTCAAGTATATATATGTATATACATATATACATGCACAAGGGTTATTTTATATCAGTAGACTCATTCCATGAATACTTTTTATACCTTTTCTTTTTATAACTTTCTTTCAGTAAAATGACATGAAGATTTTCTTATGTCAATATACATATATACATACATCATCTTTGTGGATGGCTACACAATATTATGTTGATGTTTTTCTTTAACCTCTCCTCCATTATTGGGTAATTAGGTTATTTCCAGTTTTTTACTGTGAAAAGAAAGCCGTGATGAATACCCGTGAATGTCCATTTTACATATCTTACTGATGATCACCTAAGAATCTATTCATAGAAATGGCATGTCTGGGTCAAAATACATATATACATATACATACATACATACATATAAAATTTTGATACTTGTTGCTAGTAAAGTTTTTTTTTTTTTTTCAGTATTAGGGTTTGAACTCAGGGCCTCCTGTTTGCTAAGCAGGCACTCTACCACTTGAATCATGCCTCCAGCCCTGCAAAGTTAACTTTTGATGGGATTACACTATGCTTCTTCTTTATGTACAATGTCCTTGTCAATGACAGGATGTTCTAAAGTCTCTTTTCCACTTTATATGTGTGTGTGTTCTCCTAAGACATTAAAGGAGTGTAGTGATTTTAACACATCAAGGTGTACTAGTTAGCCTCAGGCACTATACAGTTTCATTCAAAATTTGACTTAAGGTTTGGTCTGAAACAAGAAGGCATCTGATTTCTATTCCTTAATGGCTTTATCTTAAGTGATTTTAATGAAATATAGCATATAGAAAGAAGTGACTGAGTTGTAATTTTAGCAAGTGATGTTTATAGTGTGAAGAATTGTTGATGAAGTTTGTAATATTTTGAACTAAGTCATTATGGTATTTCTATAAATCTTGACCCTTCTATTTCAGGCTGGGCTTTTACATAGATAAACAGCAGCAAGAACAGGACAAACGTGAGCAAGTAGTATGTGTTGTGTTTGAGGGATTTGAGAGTAGACTCTGTGAATCCTGGGGTGTTCCTTTTTTGTTCAGGGATTGCTGCCTCTCCAGGTGGTTGGAAGGCTTCTTTGAACTCAGCTTGGATGCTTGGTGCTCTCTTATCAGTTAGGTAAATGACAAGCAACCAAGAAGCATGGCATTAAGTACATCGGAGTAGCCCAAGAATTCATTTTACACTGAATTAGTATTCAATGTAATTGGGGATTTAACCACATAGATACATCCAAGAAGATCATAAAAGTAGAAAGGATCATTTTATTCCTGCCCCTTCCCCTTCTGGTGATGGCTTCTTCTCACTCTTAACAGCCACCCAGCATAGCTGAATTTAAAAGTGCTGAGTCACTACAAATTGATTTTGCTTTAAAACATTTTTTTCAGACAGTAGGAAAGTAAG